GGCCACGTTCCTGTGCCTGCCACGTTCCTGCCCAGCAACATCCTTGGCTGGACCGGTTCCTAGAACCCCTACCAGGAAACAAACAGTCACAAGCCTGTAATCGATGGAAAGTCCATCCCAGAAGAAGTGCTCCCTGCTCCCCCCCTCTGGCTTCAAACAGCCCCCCACTGTGTGAGCTTCCGCAGACCAAGCCACGGACCCAGGGGCACCAGACCTCGTCATCACAACAGATGCAAAACCAGCTGACGTCTCTCTGCTACAACAACAAATCCCCACCCCCCAAGTAGGTGGCTCCTACATCTGCTCCGCCCTGCCCCGCCCCGCCCTGCGCGTGGTGAGAGGCCCTCGTCGAGAGGGGCATGTCTCAGCAATCATATGGATGAGACCTGACAATCACTGCGCTCAGGTGAGCTCACACAGACAAATCATGAGAGGCAAATGCGCCCTCTCGCCTGTGGGCAAACACTCGTCACAAAACCACCGCTCCGCCTGTAGCCGCACAGCCCTTGGACAGCCCGCCTGCTTATATTCATAACTTGGCAAGTCACAGACTCAGACACTGGATTTATGGCTCAATCTGACATTCATTCCCCCCTTTGTGCTGTGACTGCTGTGGTCTCAGTTGTTAACTTCTTACGCTGACCAGTCTGGTCCACCGTGGCTGTAGCTGCCATACCTACATTTCCCAGCCCCGAAGAAGAGCTCTGAGTAACTCCAACGCTTGTCTCTTTCAACAACAGAAGTTGGTCCAGTAAAAGATATTTACTCACCCACCTTATCTCTTTCATATCCTGGGGCCAATGTGGCCACAACAAAGTTTAAGCCTTGGCCTTCTTGTTTGATGTCTTTTTTTTAATAACAGCACCATCTTGCATTTATATGGCACCTTTCAGCCCAGCTAAAGGGTTTCTACCACTGGCATCACCAGGCCAAATGAGGGGACTGGACTGGACCGGAGAACTCATCCCAGTGTTGAATGGAGAGGCCACACTTAGGAGACCTGGGCATACAGCATGGAGTAACCCAGTCTGCGCTGGTGCCGCTTTACATCAGTAGGTTTAACTCTCCTCTGGGGGCAGTGGCAGATGGGTTCAGCCTCATCTTGGAAAGCCAGAGAAGTTTCCAATTAAAAAGGAGCCCTCTAAAAAGTGGAAACTAGGGCAAAGTTCAAAGAATGAATATAATCAAACACCACGACTACATCTACACTGGCATGATTTTCTGGAAATGCTTTTGTGACGGCACGTTGGGGGGTCCCCCGTCTCCTGCACCCCGAAATGGCACCAACAGACTCCACCCGCCGGTGGAATAAAGGAAGTTTATTGCCTCTCCAGGATACAGCACAGCACAGATGTAATCTGGTCACAGAGCTGGGCTAGGATCGAAATGGCCCCACCAGCCCCCCCCCGCCGGTGGAATAAAGGAAGTTTATTGCCTCTCCAGGATACAGCACAGCACAGATGTAATCTGGTCACAGAGCTGGGCTAGGATGCCTCAGGCCCCCTTGAGATGGGGGAGACTGGGCCCCTAAACTCCAGCCCCTTTCC